AAGATGGAGGAAATGAAAGAACATGGAGGGGACAGCAACCCCACAAGGAGAACAACAAAGCCAAAAAACCTGGACTCAGGGACTGCTATAGAGACTGGATTCAGACCCTCTGCTCAGATGTGGCCCATAGACTGCTCAGTGTGTTCCCTAGTAAGGAGAGAAGAGACAGTCTCTGACATGAACTGCCTGCTTCTTGATTACTTTTCCCTGGTGGAGTGACCTAGCCATCCCACAGAGGAAAAGGATCCAGACATTTCTGATGGGACCTGATGGGCTGGGGTTAAACAGTAGTCCCAATTAGTGGACTAGGGGAGTCGAGGAGGAAGAAGGAGGGTAGGTGGGACCGGTAGGTGATGAGGGAAGGGTCTACTACTGGGATAAATAGTGGATAAATTGTAAATATAATAATAATACCCATCAAGAATTATGTCAGTTAAAATTTTTAGTTAATATAGAAAATAGTGAGCTTTAGATGCGGGTGTGATGGCACTGCTTTCAAGATTGAAGACCTGTGTTTCCCAGGACCCACCTACTCCTGCAAATTTCACACTGACTTTCGCTCTCCTAGTGTGCCTTCTTCACCCTATGCCACTCTAACATAAATTAATGTAATATAATTAAAAGTAAATAATGGTCTTTTTATGACATTTGCAGATGCATGTATGTATATATGTATGTATGTATGTATGATGTATGATTTTACCTTGATCATATTAATTCCACCATTATTCTTTCACTATCCCCTCTGCGCTATCTCCCCTTTCTCTTTCAGACATATATATATATATATATATACATATATATATACATATACATATATATATACATATATATATATACATATATACATATATATATACACACACACATGGTTTTGTGTACAGGGCTAAATCCATAGTATAGATATGTTGACAATGTTTGATATTTTATTTTTCTTCCTTCTATAACTCTATTTTGTTCAATTCTCTCATATCTCTTTAGAGTCTTCCTATGCATAGTTACTTTTCTAGACAGATATATAAGTATATAGATAGATAACAGGTAGGTAGATAGGTAGATAGACAGACAGATAGATAGATATGCTCCGTTAGGAAAAAATGTGATTTTTTCCCTCTGTCTGGCTCATTTTTTTCTTATAATGATATCCAGCATTGTTCCTGAAAATGACACAATTTCATTCTTTTTGTGCTTACAATTCTAGGTTCCTGTGCAAGCGAAGTGGAAATGTATGTGTGCGTGAATTGATCATAAATGTTCACAGAAGCATTGTTTATTATAGCCGTAGACTGGGAATACAAGTATCTAAATATCCGCTAGGGAATAACTACAGAACAGAATACCATCCAGTAATAAGCAAGAGCAACTCTCCAATAATGCAGTTCAATGGTAAATTTTCAAAACTTTATATTACATTAATAAAATAGACACATAAAATCATATCATCTTATTCCAGAAACTTTATTTTATCTTTCTTTATAATTTTTTTATTTTGATTTTCTGTCAATGATTTTAATGAACCTTGGATTCTCAACTGTCTGTGGGTACATATGTTCATAAGTTTTGGGATGAATTAGCTGCAGCTCATCTCAGTTCAGCTCTAAGTCTATCTTCCACCTCCAGGCTTCTTTGTTGTTGTTGTCTTTGTGTGTGTGTTTGTTTGCTATTTAATGTGAGATAGGATCTCACTATGTAATCTGGCCTGAAACTTTATGTGGAGAGCAGACTGGCCTCAAACTCATAGAGAATCTCATGCCTCTGTCTCCCAAGTGCTAAAATTAAAAGCTTGCACTATAATGCTTGGCCAAGTACTTTTAGAGTGAATATTTCTCTATTTTTTTCATATCTAGTTTTTCTAGTTTGTTATAAGGACAGTAATTCAAACCTAGAAAATGAGATAAATCATGTAATGTAATTTAATACTGTAAACACATTATTTAGTATATGAATCAAAGTACATTATTTCAGTAATAAAGTTGTAATGAAAATATTACCTTTATTTTCTTATTTTTGCTAGATTATGGTCATGATATGAGAATTGCTTAAGTTTTAAATTTAAAATATTTATTTAGTGTTAAGTTCAAAAGACACTAGAATTATTTTATTTTTTAATTATTAGTTACATTTTATTAACTCTGTATCCCATCTGTATCTGCACCCTCATTCCCTCCCAAACCCTCCCTCTCTTCCTCATCTCCTCCCTGCCACTTTCCAAGTCCACTGATTGGGGAAGACCTCCTCCCCGTTCATCTGATCCTGTTTTATCAGGTATCTTCAGAACTGGCTGCAAAGTCCTTCTCTGTGGCCTAGCAGAGTGAAGGGAAACATATGAAAGAAGGGGGAGTTTGTATGACGTGGAAAGGATAGGCGCTCCACAAGGGCCAAATATATCTGAGCACAGGGGTCTTTTCTGAGACTGACACTCCACCAAGGACCATGTATGGATATAACCTAGAACCTCTGTGCGGATGAAGCCTGTGGTAGCTCAGTAACCAATTGTTTTCCCATACTAAGGGGAACAGGGACTATTTCTGACAGGAACTGAATGGCAGGTTCTTTGACATCCCCACCCCCCAAGGGAGGAGCAGTCCTGCTAGGCCACAGAGAAGACACTAGAATTTAAAGTTCATTTTAGGCCTGTAATTTTATTTTGACCATGGAGAAAGATTCTGGGAATACATTTTCCCTAAGGTCATTACCATTTTCTTTCCTCTCCTTAACCAGACTACATAAGAAGTAAAAGAAGCAGCACTTGACCTGACACAATGACCTGACAGATTTTAGCAGATGAGAGGATGTGGAACAAGGAAGATTCAGTTCTGCTGTCCTGTATTTGGGAGACCAAGGATTCTCTGGTACCGGTTATTCATAATTATCTAGGATTTCTACACTATATAAGGAGATAAAAAATATAATTTGAGTTCAAACCCATTTGAAAAATATTGCAGATCTGTTCTTCTCAAACTAAGAAAAGAATTGTGGAAATGAGGAGGTGTCTTTTTTTCATTTATAATAAAATTTAAATGCCCTGGTTTTCTTAAGAAAAGAAAGAATGGGATTACAAAGACAATGATATGAAGATAACTTATATATACTATATATAGTATAACTTATGTATACTACCTTGGAGATAGTGAGTCATAAGGGGGAATAGAAAATCCCAGTCATTGGAAAGAACATCATTAAGTCTGAGTGCTGAAAAAGTAGATGAAGGCTTTTAGATGCACACTGTCTTAGGTGAACACTGTCTTCTGTGCTTTAGATCCTAGAGGAATACTGTCAAATGTGTGTGTGAGTATCTCTCTGCTCTAGAAAAACAAATCACATAAGAAATGCTCTAAACTTCTCTGATATGATCTCACTATTGTTCAATATTTTGTCATTTAAAAATCAGTAGGGGGCCAAAAGAGTACAAGTTCATAAAGCCATGGGATTGATCTTGATTGAAAATGTGATTAGACTACTGTTGTTTTCTTGGACATTTCCCTATTAATCTGTAATACACAAAAGGAGACAGCGCTATTCTGACTTTTATAGAATGCTGGGAAACAGACCTGAAATCTCACAACATACATGACTTTCCATAAGTTCATATTTGGACCCTTCTTTTTGTTTGGAAAAGACTACCAAAAAGTAGGGTTGTGTGGCTTCAAGAACTAAACAAAATAGACCTTGAGAGATGTGTTCAAAAGAACAGCCTGCCACTGCAGGGATCATTTATACCCATGTGTTGATTTGGAAAAGAATTTTGAAACCTCTATTTATAACAACTTATCCATATCTATTCTCCTATATCAATGACTCCTGAGAATGCCTGAAATTCTACCACTAAAGATACTTCTAGTGAAATTAAACTTGATCCTCTCTTTAGAGTCATTCCCACCCAGTTGAATGATAACCTCTCCCAGAAATATGGAACTCAAAGTTTCCCACACTTAGTGGTGTGGTGTAGCTAACATGAAGCAGGAAATATGAAAACGCATAAAGAAAACATTGCTGTTAAAGTGCAGAGCACTTCCTCTTTTATTTTGTTTTTCTTTGTTTCATGTAGGCATTTAAATATTAAGTCAAGAAAAGTAAAGAGAAGTTGTAGAATAACCCCATTTGCAGCTAAAGAAATTACTTGGGACTTAAATTCAATCTTGATCAAGCATGCAGAGCTGACTTCATTTACTGAAGATTCTTCTCCTATTATTACTTCTGGTCATATTGCTGCATATTCTCTTATCTTTGCTTTTTCTCATGATTGTGTGGCTATTCTATGCTTATGCAGTGATTTAATTGAATTGTAGAAAGGATCTTTAATGACAAACAATACTGACTTAAAACTTTATTATATCACAATTTAAGTAAGAGAGGTCTCATAAAGTTAGATAATTCATTTGAGTTTCAGTGAGATTATTACACAATCAAATATGTCTAATTTAAATCTCTTTCTATAGTACCCCATAGTGATATTGAACCTTTGAGATCAGATGAGAGGCCAAATTTCACTTCAAGAAGATCCAAGTTTTAGAAGAAGAGAAACCTGCAGAAGTCATTGGGGCTGTGCTGCCTAAGAATTCTGAGCAGATGTGACATCCAGGAAGGACAGTTTGAAGCGGGGCAAATCTGAACAAACATTCTCATTTCTATATGAAAATGCAGCAATCATATAAGTATTAGCATAGCTTTGAACAGGGAAGGCTTTTTGAAATGTAATAGAAATCTTACACAAAATAAAAGTACATTCTTCAAATTTCACAAGACATTGCAAAAATTTTTCTTAAGTCTTTGGACTTCACTTCTCACCTGAATTGAAAAAAATCACACAATATAACATTGAGGTAAGTTGCTCAGAATAAATGCACTTAAACTGAAACCTGAATATGAAAAATATAAGTGCTCAACTTCAGCCACCAGCCACTATAATTATTTATTTGTTTTAAAATAGAAATGAATGCTGGTGGTTTATTTATTTATTTTTTTAATTTGTTCTGATAGTTTAATGTCCTCTTGGGAATATGGCCTCAAGTACTTTTTCCATGGAAGGAATAAACAATGTCACTGAATTCATTTTTTGGGGTCTTTCTCAGAACCCAGAGGTTGAAGAAGTATGCTTTGTTGTGTTTTCCTTCTTTTACATGATCATTGTGCTAGGAAACCTCCTCATTATGCTGACAGTTTGCTTTAGCAATCTTTTCAAGTCTCCCATGTATTTTTTCCTCAACTTTCTATCTTTTGTGGACATTTGCTACTCCTCAGCCACAGCACCCAAGATGATTGCTGACCTGCTAGTGAAGGAAAAAACTATTTCCTATGTGGGGTGCATGTTACAACTCTTTGTTGTTCATTTCTTTGGTTGCACTGAGATCTTCATCCTTACAGTCATGGCGTATGATCGATACGTGGCCATCTGTAAACCTCTCCACTACATGACTATCATGGACTGGGAAAGATGCAATAAGATGTTGCTGGGGACATGGGTGGGTGGGTTCATACATTCCATTATCCAAGTGGCTCTGGTGGTGCAGCTCCCCTTTTGTGGACCCAATGAGATTGATCACTACTTCTGTGATGTACACCCTGTGCTGAAACTCGCCTGCACTGACACCTACATTATTGGTGTTGTTGTGACGGCCAACAGTGGTACCATTACACTGATAAGTTTTGTCATCTTGCTATTCTCATACACAGTCATTCTCGTATCTCTAAGAAAGCAATCATCTGAAGGAAGACGCAAAGCTCTCTCCACATGTGGATCCCACATTGCTGTGGTCATCATCTTTTTTGGTCCCTGTACTTTCATGTATATGCGGCCTGACACCACCTTTTCAGAGGACAAGATGGTTGCTGTATTTTACACCATTATCACTCCCATGCTGAATCCTCTAATTTACACTCTAAGAAATGCAGAAGTAAAACATGCAATGAGGAAGCTGTGGACTAGAAAGGTTTCCTGGGAGGCTACTGGGAAATAGCAGAACGTTATCACTTAAGTAATAAATCTTCAATTTCTTTAGCCTTGACTAATGACATTTGGAGAAACACTAGAAGTAACATCACAGGATTCAGGTGACAAGTGATGGAGCACTGTGTTATACAGAAGTAAGGTATGATGATCATGGTCATGCAATAATCTATTATGTTCAGGTAATTTTGTGAAATACGAATGACTAATATTTTTATATAAAAGTCATTACTGTCTCCTCTTCCTTTGTAACTATTGTGAGAACGTACTATTGAAATGCTTAAGGCCATTTCTATTATTTAGGAATATGGTACTTATCTATTAAACTCGATGTACACATATTGCATAAATGATTGCATACATGCAAAGCTCCACATCCATGCTAATGTCTTCTTAAGTTAATTTCAGAAAACAAAGTTTATTAAGCCTCATAATGTTAAAACTGGGATACAACTGGCAAAGAATATTAAAAAAAATAACGTATTTTGGAGACAAAAGGTTAGTTTTCATTGCTAGGTTTTGATAAATAATATTTCCATTCTTTGTTTCACATTTTCTTTTACTCCAGCAACTAAAAGATCAGACTGGCTGAACTGTGAGAATACATCCCATTCAGCCTATTCTAATTTATTTATTTAAATATTTATGTATTTATTTGTTTTTATTTATTTATTTATTATAATTTATTCATTTTGTATCCAGGTTATAGCACCCCCATGGACTCCTCCTAGTCCCACCCACCTCCATTCTCATTTTGTACATAAATTTCTGAGTCTATTATTTCCCTTAACTGGGATCCATAAGCTGAAATTTCTTGGGTACAAATGTATCTTTATCATTGTTTTATTATGTTTTGTCAAAATCTAATTACCCATGCTACTATTTCTACCTATACTTAGGTTTTGATTTGAGAGTGAAATATAAGTGTTACTTCTGGGAAGGCCTGTGTTGCCTAAAAATAACACTTTTGCAACCTCATGATTAAATGTTAAAAAAAAAAACCAAATATTTATTGGATATGCCTGAAACCACAGCACTGAAAAGAAGTTTATATGGGTTGGGGATGGTCAGAATGATTTTATAGTCAGCCTTAGTCATATCATAAATCCCAGGGTAGCCTAGAAGAATGAGACCTTGTCTCATCTGTTTCCCTTCACCTTCCTGAATCAGATAATCCTATGAGAAGTTTCTTTCCATGGAAATGAAATTTGAAACGACTAGATCTTTCTACCTACTTTCCATTATTCTTTAATCAATATTCTTCTTATAATTTTTAAATTCAATATATTTTTCAAATAGGGCACATGTATATGTAACTAAGAAATTTAAAAATTCTACCAAAACTTTCTGTATCCTTTTTGCAAATGTGTTCCTGTCCTTTAAATGTGGCATCTTTTACAAAAGAGATGGAGATACATGAAGAGCTTTCAACCCATTTTTCTTTTAGAGTGAGCTGCCCCAGATAATGGGCATCACAAATATCATGTTTGAAAGTCTTAAGATCTTCTACTTACTATCTGGGCTCTGGTTCATCATCTATACAGCACAGTGAACCCAGAGATCCTGCTCAGTGCAGCAAAATTCTTTGGAGAAATGAAATGAGCTCTATTAGTGTCCTGAAAATTATATTAGCCTACATTCCAGAATAAGTTACTTTCACCGGCTTTATTTTCCTTTCCAATTTTGTTGTGTTAATAAAATTATTTTATTTGATGTGTATATATGGTTCAGGATGCGTGCAGTATAAAATGCATACTAAAAGCAAATAAATTAGGACATCCATCACCATAGTCATTTTGTGTTCACAATGTATATAGTTATTTTGCCATATGGTCTTCTTTTTCTTTACTCCATTAAACAGGGAAAACCTGTGTGAAGAAAACATTGAAACAGCTTAAAAAGCCCAGCAAAAACCTTATTGTTTTCTATATTCCATGCTCAATAAAGATTAACAAATTGTACCTAAAGAATTGTCATTTCTTCATCTTTACATTTTCTTAATTTTAGCATATACCACACTGAAGATAACCTATCTGTACATTTTTATATTGAAAGTAGTTTTTTTTATTTCTATTTTTGTTCTTCACAATTTATTCATTATATATCTCAAGTGAAGCCCCCTCCCTCTACTTCACCGGTCCCACATTCCCTCTCATTTACCCTTATCCTAGTCCACTGAAAAGGGGAGCTCTCCACTGTTACCATCTACCCATAGCTTGTTAAGTCTCATTAGGACTTCCTGGATCCTCTTCTTCCATGGCGTGGCAAGGCTGCATCACCATGGGCAAGTGATCAAAGAGCAGGCAACTGAGTTCATGATAGAGGCATCCCATGTTTTCCTCACTCAGAGATCCATATGGAGACTGAGCTGCCCATTGGCCACATCTGAGCAGGAGGTCTAGGACCTCTCCTTGCATGGTCATCTGTCGGTACATTTTTAAAAGAGGCAAGACAAACTATGTTTCTTGATTCTTCAACGGTACTATCTTTTACAAATCAAGATACAAATATTAATAAATAGAAGTATATCAATAAAAATTAAATATATAGAAGGCATAAACAACAATGTTCATGTTCAAAGATTTTTTTCCTGTGTGCATTACTGGTAAAATAATTGCCTGTAGGTATAAAATTTTGACTTTGAAAGCAGCATGTTCTCTGTAGCATTCATAGCTTCTTGTTAAAGTGGGTTTTTTTTTGCTTTTGATTTCTATCAATATAAAAATGTTCATCAGTACTTTTAAAGAATAAAAGAGCACAAAGTTCTCATTGAATTCAGACTATTCAATTTTAATCTTTATTATTTTTGCATCAAAAAATCTACAGTTTGAAAGACAAATTACTTTGCATGCAGTAATAAAGTTCTGTGCCATTGCTAAATTACAAAGTCTGATGCAGTAAAATCAGGATCATTGAAGTGTCCTAAAACTTGTAACAATCCTCATTAAAATTTTAGGTCATTATTAGTTCTCAACATTTTGTATTTTTGTTTAATGTAAAATATTTATTTTAAATATTTATTTATTTTACTAAATCATAGGCTACATAGCTAGTGTCTGTGCTCAAAATAACAAAGTATATGGAGTAAAAACAATAACATGAATATACACTTAAGCACTCTTGAGGACTTTTAAAATGGGGTTAGGAATAGTCTCCTTTATAAACTTTTAAAAAAGAGTTGTTCATCATCTGATTTGAAATGTTTAATTAGTGGATACATCACAATTTGGGAACTTATAATTAGATGCAGTATATTTCAGAGATAATATATGAGTAGGGCAGTTCACATGGAATTACAACTTCAGAACTATACTTTATTTGTAAAGATTATCATCTGAAATATTCATATTTAAAAAACATAATGCAAGCCTCAAATGAAAGTGCTTGGAAATCTCTCTATGTCCGTGGCCAATAATTCAGTAAATATACATGTGCAAGGCACAGCTTCATATGTTTTACATTTTGCTTGGTAAGAACATCATTGTGCTCACTGTGCATGGGACCATGAAGGAGCTGAAGCTCAAGGGTGTCAGTGCAAGGTTGAAGATCCTCTAGCATAATTTTCCTGTGTGCAGTCATAAAGAATTAAAGTAATATGACAGTCCGTGCTAGATAGCTCCTATCTTCGATAATTACAACTGGGGAGCTTACCACTATTCTGTGTCAATGCATGGTAGACACTGACTTATTTGCTAGAACAAGATACAGCAAAGAGCTCCCACAATTTTTCTTGACACTACTCATATTACATGGCATTCATCATGTCTGTATTTCCCAACGGTTAGTTAGGAGTCAGAGCAGGGATAATCATGATATAAGAAAAAGCAAGTGCTTTGTTGTCACAGACAGAACTGACCATAAGGACATAAATGAAGACGGTGGGTAAGAAGAACATAAATGGAGTAATGATGTATGAATCACAGCCGAAGAGAGATTTGAAGATCTCAGATATGCATGTCCATGGGGTGAACAAGATGATTTAAGAAGTTCTCAGGTCAGCAAAAGTCAGTCTCCCTTACAATGCCTGTATGTCTCATATATATATCATGTCTTCTTTGATGCCTTCTTTGATGTCTTCTTTCATTTATAGTCTGGATCATGACTATAAATGCTTAGTCATGGTGATAAATGCTATACAGTATTTGCAGACCCTTTCTGTCTGTGGTCTTCATGAATATGTAACTGTGAGACAAATGATGTACAGCTGTGTTTGTGCATGGTAACAAAAATAAACTATTTTCATTTCTGCTCCAGACACTCTTCCCTGGTTGCACTGAGAACTCTAAAATACTTCATATCTATGATATAACTATTTCTGTGTTAATAGTAAGAATAGTATGCCATGTGCTTATATTGATCTGTTACTATTTTCAAATCTACTAACAGAGTTTCTTACACTATTAATTTCTAGTCTTCATAAATATTTATATCTGGATAAGAGACACATATATTAGCAATGTTTACCATTATTTTGACACAATGTTGACAGACGAATCGTGAGAAGGAAAAATAATTTTGGTTGATGTATTCAGAACTCTTTCAGTCCAATATTTGAGGGAAGGCATGATAACAGAAGCAACTCTATTTTTGGTGTCAGGAGTATTAGCCTGCATTTTCACATGGTGTCAGGTAGAGCACATGATCTTGGGGACAGAACCAGAAATGGACATGAACTCAAAGTCTATATATAACCTAATAATATCCTTCCAACAATAAATCAGTCTTGAAACTTTTCAAGAAAGTACTGTATGCTGAAGACTGAGCATTCAATCATGAGCCTGTGGGAGACATTGCACATTCAAAGGATCATTGAGCTACAGAGTTGTCTCAGCAATTATGAACACTGATCATACAAAGGTTTGATTCCCAGCAGTCACGTGATGGTGCACAGCCACTCTTAACTCAAAATCAAACCTTAGTATCCCATATTCATATTAATCTTGCATTAAAAAGTGATTATAATACTTATTTTTCAAGATGAAATAATTTTCCCTAAAGTTCAAAAGTATCAGATTATTAAATTTAAAATATAATGTTAGTAAAACATTAAGTAGTAATATTCCTAACCTCAGATGGATTCTGCCAATTTATTATTATGGGGTCTGAGTAATGAGAAACATACACAGTAACCTGTAGAGCATAATCTTAAGACTGAATGGTAAATTATGTAGTATATATTGTATATATATATATATATATATATATACATATATTGATGCAAATAATAGGTATTCACACATATATTTTAGTCATAGCAACAACCACAATAACAATTAATTTTAAAGGTGTTTCCTGGTTAGTTGTTAGGAATAAGAAGTATGTGAAGAAGAACATGTTTATACATGCCCACAGACACAAACACATACAACACACTTGCTGTACCCTAAAACTTCTATAAATGTGTGAATATGGTACATTCCTTTGATTAAAGAAGAGCAGAATGAAGGCATTATAAAGAAACACAATCACAATCAGAAAGAAAGAAATCAGTAATAAAATAGACAGGAGGCCCTACTTACTGATTGTTGATCTTAGAGCTTGTGCTGTTGGTGTTCTGTTCAGGGAGTTGTCTCCTGTGCCAATGAGTCCAAGGCTCTTCCCTACTTTTTCTTCTGACAGGTTTAATGTGTCTGGTTTTATGTTGAGGTCTTTGATCCACTTGGATTTTGTTTTGTGCAGGATGGGAAATATGGATCAATTTGCATTTTCTACTTGTAGACATCCATTTAAACCAGCACCATTTGTTGAAGATGTTGTCTTTTTTTTTTTTTTCTATTGTATGGTTTTGGTTCTTCTCCACATTCTTTTCCAAAAGAATAATTTGATATATTACTTTAGAATATATTTGTTTGCCCACTCTCTAGAATCAACCAATCTTCCCTTCCTAAGACAGTGCTATCATAAACATAATTGAAAACTGATATTTTCTTTATTAACATCAACATAAACTTTGATTCCCTATTTATCATCTAAGATTCTTTTGTTCCACAACTTTCTCATTGCATTTTTCACTTCTGCATTCCTCAATGTGTAAATCAGAGGGTTTAGAAAAGGTGTACAAATTGTATAAAACACTGATATCATCTTGTCCATAGGGAAGGTGGTTGCAGGGCGTGTGTATATGAATATACAAGGCAAAAAAACCAAAATGACTACTATGATGTGGGAGACACAAGTTAACAGGGCTTTTCTTCTCCCTTCAGCACTGTGGTTTCTCAAGGAATACAGGATGATGACATAGGAGACCATCAGCATGAGGAAACTCAGTGTACATAGGGTCCCACTATTGGACACCAGAAGCAAGTTGATCACATATGTGTCTGAACAGGCAAGTTTCAACAGTGGCTGCAAGTCACCAAATTCCTGATCAGTCTCTTTGGGCCCACAGAAGGGTAAACTCAAGGCCAGAAATATCTGAACTAAAGAATGAACACAGGATCCCACCCAGGCTATAGCTACCAGCACCCCACAGACCCGGTGGCTCATGATGGTCATATAGTGCAGGGGCTTACAGAGGGCCACGTAGTGGTCAACAGCCACTAAAACGAGGATAAAGATCTCCAGGGAGCCAAATAAATGGAACGTAAAGACTTGGATTATGCACTCATTGAAGGTGATAGAGGCCTCCTTCAGTAGAGAATCCGCAATTGTTCTGGGAGCTACGGTTGTAGAGAAGCAAGTGTCAGACAAGGAGAAGTAGAACAGGAAGAAGTACATGGGACTCCCAAGGGCCTGGCTTGTCTTGATGGTAGCAATGATCAGCAGGTTACCTGCTAATGTTCCTATGTAAAAGAACAGGAAAATGGCAAACAGTATGTTTTTCCTACTGGGGTCCTGTGTCAAGCCAAGAAAAATGAACTCAGTCACATTGATATTCAGCTTCATGGTTCATGAATCAGAACGAAAGAGTATGAAATGTGTCATCTGCAAGAGATTAAAAAAACTATTTTGCCACATGGTATGATGGATTATTTTAGAAAAAATATTTATTTCTCTTAAAAAAATTTCTACTTCTTGATTATTTAACTCTTTTTCCCACTCTCTGCTTGAATTTGAAGATCTTTTTCAGTGTCAAGGAAGTTGATGAAATTGACAACTTCTCCACAGCAATCTTCACCAAAACCTATGGTGTTAATTAATTTTGTACATCAATTAGTATAAAATGAAATGTACACTTTTATTATTTACCTTATTTTTCATGGTAAAAAAAAATTGGTGGCGATGACTTACTATTGTATTTTTCTCTATTTAAAAAAAAATTAAGTAGCCTTGCCAGTGATGATGTAAATTTGCCTAGCCCTTACATTCTATAAAATTCCTATTTTCCATTTATGTTAACATATTTATTACATACATTTACAATTAATACAACATTCATTTCTAGGCATTGCTTCTTGAAAAGAAGAAGAAATGCCAGTAACCTCCAAAAGCCAGTAGTGTCTCCAATCATTCTTCATCATATTTTGTAAATGGTGTGCATAGACAGAAAAAAAAATAGTTCCTTGATAGTAACTATTAAATATCTCAATGTCTAGGTTTCTTCTACTTTTAAAGACCCTCACTCACAGTCCCTTCACCACCATGCAATGTTCCCTGTGAATGTTCCCCGCTCCTCTGTGCCAGAGGATATCACCCAGCAGCTGGCACAGGCCATCATCAAGACAGCACAGTACATCTCAATGCATGTGGTCCCTGACCAACTCGTGACTTTTAGCAGCAGCTTGAGCCATCTCTGAGCCCTATGCAGCCTGCACAGCACAGGCAAGAACAGCTGCGCCCAGAACTGCACCTAGAGCAAGCTGCTATGGGCCTGCTGGTTGATGGCCTGCTCCTCAGCCTGGACGAGATGTACATCAACTATTACAACATGAATGCAGCCAACATGGGCTGAACAGTTCCACCTTTGCTTGAGTGCTGGTCTGACTTACCTGCACCTCTGTTCTTGGAGCCTTACTGCACAAAGTGTTCTGTGTTCATCTGCCTGCAGTGATGTCCAACTTCCTTTTGGGAGAATTAATGGTTTGAGAGAGAGAGATTAATTAGACTATTTATACTGTCTGAGCTTACATTCAAATAAATGGGTATTTTATTATCTACAAGTACATCATTACACAATAAATACCTTCATATCTAGGATAATTTGTTATAGGATCAGGTGATGGTTGTCATCCCAGTAAAGTAATTTACTATTCAAAAAATCTAAAAATTCTACAGTCTCAGGTCACAGGAACGTTGGAAAAGAAAGGTAAGTATAGCTTTTAGAGATGCGGATGGATAGTAGTTTATATTTGGTTTTTCTGTTATTGTTCAACTTATTTTTAGATCTGAAAATTTTTATGATCATATTCAAGCATGAAATATCACTTTTTTCAATAATGTCCTTTTTATAATGATAAAATTTTATAATAGACTTTCAAAGCCAAAACTTTTCTAGCTTTTGCTTCTGAAAATATCATCAACACATAGGGACACTTTATGAAAGTAAACTTACAAACAAAACTGTAATTTGTTTATACATATTCTGGAAGGCCCACTAATCCACTGTACTCTTTCTAATCCCGCAGTGGTAAAAGCTGTGAACTGGTTCTTCCAAGTGAAATATTTTATATTACATTTTTAATTCAATAATGCTTACCTCATATTGTTAATGTCAGTTATATTATAAATATATTATTTATATATAATATATAATATATAAATAATATTTATTATATAGATTTATATTATATATTATATATGTTATAAAGTTGGACATCAACAACAATGGAAATAACCAAAAACCTACACGCACATGGAAACTGAACAACTTGTTACTCAATGACAGCTGGGTTAAGGAAGAAATAAGGAAAGAAATTAAAGACTTCCTAGAACTCAATAAAAATGAAGGCACAACATACCCAAATTTATGGGACACATTGAAAGCAGTGCTCAGAGGAAAATTTATAGCACTAAGTGCCTTCAAGAAGAAATTTGTAAGTAACATAATGGCCCAATTGAAAACCCTAGAAAAAAAAAGAAGCAGATACACCCAAGAGGAGCAGAAGGCTGGAAATAATCAAACTCAGGGCAGAAATCAATCAAATAGAAACAAATAAAACTATTCAAAGAATCAATGAAACAAAAAGCTGGTTCTTTGAGAAAATCAACAAGATAGACAAATACTTAGCCAAGCTAACTAAAATGCAGAGAGAATCTATCTAAATCAGCAAAATCAGAAATGAAAAGGGGGACATAACTACAGACACTGAAGAAATCCGAACAATCATTAGGTCATACTAAAAAGCCTATATGCCACAAAATTTGAAAATCTAAACGAAACGAACAATTTTCTTGATAGATTCCATCTACCAACATTAAGTCAAGATCAGGTAGAAAGAATGAATAACCCTATATCCCCCAAAGAAATGGAAGCAGTCATTAACAGTCTCCCCTCCAAAAAAAGCTCTGGGCCCGATGGTTTCAGCACAGAATTCTACCAGACCTTCAAAGAAGTGCTCAAACCAATTCTCCTCAAACTATTCCACAAAATAAAAACAGAAGGAACACTACCAAACTCATTCTATGAAGTGACAGTCACCCTGATACGCAAACAACACAAAGACCTAACAAAAAAAGAGAACTTCAGACCTATCTCTCTTATGAATATTGATGCAAAAATACTCAATAAAATACTTGCAAACCGAATCCAAGAACACATCAAAGACATCATCCACCATGACCAAGTAGGCTTCATCCCAGGCATGCAAGGGTGGTTCAACATAAGGAAATCAATCAATGTAATCCACCACATAAACAAACTGAAGGAGAAAAGTCACATGATCATCTCCTTGGACGCCGAAAAAGCATTTGACAAAGTCCAACACCCATTCATGTTTAAAGTCTTGGAGAGATCAGGGATACAAGGCACATACTTAAACATAGTAAAGGCAATATACAGCAAGCCTACAACCAACATCAAACTCAATGGAGAGAAACTTAAATCAATCCCAGTGAAATCAGGGACAAGACAAGGCTGCCCACTCTCTCCATATCTCTTCAACATAGTACTTGAAGTCCTAGCCAGAGCAATAAGACAACTAAAGGAGATCAAGGGGATACAAATTGGAAAGGAAGAGGTCAAAGTGTCACTATTTGCAGATGACATGATAGTATACATGAGTGACCCCAAAAATTCAACCAGAGAACTCCTTCAGCCGATAAACACCTTCAGCAAAGTGGCAGGATACAAAATCAACTAAAAAAAATCAGAAGCCCTCCTGTATACCAAAGACAAAAAGGCTGAGAAAGAAATTAGGGAAACAACACCCTTCACAATAGTCACTAATAACATAAAGTACCTTGGGGTGACATTAACCGAACAAGTGAAAGACCTGTTTGAGAAAAACTTCAAGTCTCTGAAGAAAGAAATTGAAGAAGATCTCAGAAGATGGAAAGATCTCCCATGCTCATGGATTGGTAGGATTAACATTGTGAAAATGGCCATCCTGCCAAAAGCAATCTACAGATTCAACGCAATTCCCATCAAAATACCAACTCAATTCTTTTCAGACCTTGAAAAAAAGATTCTCAGCTTCATATGGAGAAACAAAAAAACCCAGAATCTCCAAAACAACCCTGTACAACAACAGATCATCTGGAGGTATCTCCATCCCCAATCTCAAGCTGTACTACAGAGCAATAGTAATAAAAACTGCATGGTATTTGCATAGAAATAGAAAGGAGGATCAATGGAACCGAATAGAAGACCCAGAAATAAACCCATGTACCTATGAATACTCGATTTTTGACAAAGCAGCCAAAACCATTCAATGGAAAAAAGATAGCATCTTCAACAGATAGTGCTGATCTAATTGTATGTCTAGATGCAGAAAAATGAAAATAGATCCACATTTATCACCCTGCACAAAACTAAAGTCTAAGTGGATCAAAGACCTCAACATAAAACCAGATACTCTAAATCTGTTAGAAGAAAAAGTGGGGAACAGCCTAGAACTCATTGGCACAGAAGACAACTTCCTGAACAGAACACCAACAGCACAGGCTCTAAGAGCAACAATCAATAAATGGGACCTCATGAAACTGAAAAGCTTCTGTAAAGCAAAGGACACCATCATCAAAACAAAACGACTGCCTACAGATTGGGAAAGAATCTTCATTAACCCTTTATCTGACAGAGGGCTAATATCCAGTATATATAAAGAACTAAAGAAGCTGAAAAGCAACAAACCAAGTAATCCAATTAAAAAATGTGGAACAGAGCTAAACAGAGAATTCTCTGTAGAGGAATATAGAATGGCAGAGAAACACTTAAAGAAATGCTCAACCTCCTTAGCTATTAGGGAAATGCAAATCAAAACGACCCTGAGATATCACCTTACACCCATCAGAATGGCGAAGATGAAAAACTCAAGTGACAACACATGCTGGAGAGGTTGTGGAGAAAGGGGAACCCTCCTCCATTGCTGGTGGGAATGTAAACTGGTACAACCACTTTGGAAGTCAATCTGGCGCTTTCTCAGACAATTAGGAGTAGTGCTTCCTCAAGACCCAGCTATACCACTTCTAGGCATATACCCAAAATTTGCTAAAGTACACAAAAAGGACATTTGCTCAACCATGTTTGTAGCAGCTTTATTTGTAATAGTCAGAACCTGGAAACAACCCAGATGTCCATCAACGGAGGAATGGGTACAGAAATTGTGGTATTTTTACACAATGGAATACTACTCAGCAATCAAAAAGGAGGAAATCATGAAATTTGCAGGCAAATGGTGGGATCTAGAAAGGATCATTCTGAGTGAAGTATCCCAGAAGCAGAAAGACAAACATGGAATATACTCACTTATATAGAACTAATAGATATGATAAACATAATGAAATCTATA